GTTTGCTTTTAATTGCTAGTGCTCCTAACTCAGTCAATCAATTTTCGGTCATATTTGAGCATTGGTAGTTCTTGTCATTTAATTTGTAATTTTTTTCATTATTGCAAAGGGCCCCTAATTTTAATCTTCCCCTGGGCCCCATGTCTTCTCTCAGCGGGCCTGTAGATTAATGGGACTTTATTTTTGGTGCATTTAGATCTAGTACTTTGTAATTTCACCATAGGGTAATGACTAATGTATGAAGTATGATCCATAGCCTATGCCACTGAATCCTTAAAGTTGTTCTCAGCAATTAGTAGTGAGCAGCTTTGATATCTGATATCCTTGTATGTAAATATTTCTAAATTATATGCTGGAAATTTCTTGAATAATTCATAATCCTCATTGCAGTATTTCTAATTCTAAGAAAGCTAATAATTGACAACATCCCGTTGTCTTAGAAAGTAATCTATAATGCCAAATTTTTTAAATAGTTTTGGCCATTATAACAAACAACATAATGCATTTGCATTATAGATATGCTTTTGTATAAAAAAAAATTTTTTATAGTTAAGCTGTGGATCAAAACATTGTAATTGTGTATTCATAGAAGCAGTAAATACAGTGCATTTATTTATGATTATATCAAGCATGGATTACTAATGTTTTTCGATGTTTGATAGAGTCTGTTGTTAACAACCCTCTCTATAATGCTGCAAATGCTAGACATTCTATTATAGAGACAAAGGAGAATTATTTGTTACCATTAACGATTATACATATCAATATTATTTTGCCATGGATTATTTATTTCTATTTTATTAAATGACAACAAAGTGAAAGCAAAAAATAGGAGAGATAGGGTGGAATGAGATATAAGAAGTGAATGAATAATAGTCTTAAAAGGCAAATTATATGTAAGCTGTATTAATGTGGTGCATTTGTGTATAAAATAAATACCGTTATGTTCTCAGTAAATATTGGCAACTATTTAGAGCTATGTCGCATATAATTTGCTTTGAAAGTACCGTATAAGTGGTTTTTTTCGAGGGTTGCAAATTTCGCGAATTTCACGGATTCCCTCGTGATTCGCGAAAATAAAATCCGCGAAAATCAATTTAATACGGTACCCGCATGGCACACGTGGTAGAATTCGCGAAATTAAAATCTGCGAATTGGAATTTTAGCAGATTTCGCGAAATATAATTCCCTCGAAAAAAACCACTTATACGGTAATTGCTGGTATGCTTTCATACAAGCCAAATAGATTGTTGATTATTTGTAGTGGTAGTCCTTGATGTGGATATTGAGACCTTTTTGGGCTCTTGTGTGTAAGTGAAATATTAATTGTACTCTGAACTAATGTGAAGCCTGCAAAAAGCCAAAAACTATGTCGCTCTAAAATTAAAAAAAACCAGTACTATAGTACGGCATATCCCATGATAGTGGTGAAGACATACTTTTCCATTTCATTATATTTTTGGTGCAAATTCATTCATGCTGCATAGAAAGTTTTGTACATGCAATTACTGTATGCAATCTAGTCTAGCTATATGTACATGTGTATAATTAATGAAGTGATTATTTCTAACTATATTGAATGCTTGCTAAATGCTATAAACAATAATTGGTGCAGAAATGCTAGAAGACTAAGTCAAGAATTAACTTGAAAATTTCTTCTATGCAACTTAAATTTTGAGCTACTTTGCACAATCATTGATACTATTGAAATTCCTTTACCATTGTTACCCAAGTCATACAAAACTCTATACAGCAAAAACATGTCCAATAATTTTTGCTAGTACCTTTTGTTTTTGTTGATTTTGCAGTCTTATTTTAAGTCAAACACAAATCCTGAAAATAAAATTCTGGGAAATAAAATTTTTGTGGCAACAATAATTTTAATTTGGCAATTGAATTTGGCAATTTAATTTGGCTATTTAATTTGGCTATTTAATTTGGCAATTTAATTTGGCAATTTAATTTGGCTATTTAATTTGGCAATAAAATTGTTGTGGCAAAATTTAATTATTTGGCAATAAAATTGTTGCAAGAGTAATTGTTGTGGCAACAAATTTTTTTTATTTAAACTCATTCCGTTTTGCTTTCTTTAGATTTCCAGCTCGCTCTCATTTTCATTCCTTTTCTTCCTCTTTATTGTTTTTCTTACTTTATAGGCTGCAGCTAATATCATAAGATGATTTCTGGTTTTTCCACTATTGCTGCTGCAGTTGTCATTCTATTGTGCATCACTGATCAATGTACAGCTCAAGGTACTGACTGCTCTGCTATGGTAGCTGATGCTGACTGCAGTTTTTATGATTGCTTGCATACTAAATTTCGTTGCGATGGCAAAGGTTATGCCCTTCGCCGTGGCAAGCCCGACTGTCAGAAATACATCAGTGAATCAAGTTGCTTCACAACAGCAGTAAGTACACTGATTGCATTGATGTGTGCCCTACAACCTACTATATTATAGTATTCAACTTTGTTGAAAGTAACCTAGGGGTTAGCTTGATGTACTCTCAAATAGAATTTCAGGCATCAGAGTTGTTGCTAGTAGACAACATGGGAAACAACTATGTATAATAGTACTGAGCAGCTTTGATCATTATATACTTGTTGTAAATTTTTTCCAATAACCTAAATTGTGCAATAGTAAAATCCTTCATTATTCAGAATGCATTCACTCCAAGTTTTTCCATTAGGAAAACTATTTTGTAGTAATTGGTACTTTCCTTTTATGAATATTTTTAAGAAAGCAATTTACAATGATGAAATCCATAATTATGGCAAAATTTATTCCCCAATAAAATAATTTGCATCTAAATGAATAGCTAGAATTATCTGTGGTGCAAAATTTCTGCTAATTTTGCAGATTAGGAAAAATTGCAGAAATTTCATTCTTAAAAATTTGGTACATGAATCAATGGCCCATTTAAATTATATAAAAGGCATGTTGAAGTTGCAAAATTAAAAGCTGCAAAATCAATTTTATGACAATCTGGTGCCAAAAAATTTCTAGTTACTTGGCTGCATACATTTTCATAGTACAGACACATTATTGTGTATGCATCTACCAAAGCATCAAAAAAATACAATGCATATATTTTACATATATATATTATCTTAGGGTCAAACATGGCTTACTAATGTTCGTAGATGTTTGATGCAGTCTATTATTAACAGTCCTCTCTATAATGATGAAAGTGCTACTTGTGACCAGTTGGCAACATTTGCCATTGCAAGTCGTCCTAAATGTTACACTGATAATGGGTTCTGTACAAATATATTCTTATCACCTCAATGTCAGAACCTTAATTGCATTCGAAATAGAATTTATCCTGGTAAAAAAAGCTGGAGTAAACAGTCAATAGATCAGGTAAAAGGGTATTAGTTTTAGTTAGAGTAATTATCATTATTATTATTCTACTTTTATAGATTATAAAAACAACTGAGTCTTGCCCTTCCCAGATTTCTACATTCCTTACTGATGCTCCACAGCAGTGCAATCTGGGTAGTCCAGATAGTGCTCTTCCAGCCGCTATACATAATCAATTAGGTATGTACTTGAGTACTGTGTATGATTATGCTATTCTTTTTTTTGTGCAGATTGTACTGCAAAGGCTTTTGATTTTATGATTTTATTGGATGCATCTGGAAGTGTTGGGGCTGATAACTTTGAGATAATGAAAAACTTTGTTGCAAACATGCTGTCTAACTTTACCATTGGACCAGGTGACACTCGTGTTGGAGTCATTAGTTTTGCTAGCAGTCCATCAATTGTTATCCCATTGGGTTCCATTAATACTTATTCACAATTGGCTACTGCTGTTAGAGGTATATCATATACTCAAGGAGGCACAAACACTGCTGGAGCATTGGATTTACTAAGCACAGCATTTGCTACTGCTCGTGTTAGTGAAGGTATCCCTCGTGTAGCTGCTGTTTTTACTGATGGAATGTCTAATGATGCTGCAGCAACAATACAATCTGCTCAAGCTATACATAATGACAAGATTAATGTTTTCTCTTTTGGTATTGGAACTGGTGTCAGTAATACAGAGTTGATTGCCATTGCA